GGGGGGGGGATGGTAAATAGGGGGCAGAGAGGCAGCCATGTGGAAGTCGCCGATACGACGGGGGGTAGGGGTAGCCGCGAGGGATGGGTATGAGGGAGTGGGGTACTTTGAAACACCGGTGCTTTTCATTGCCAAAAACAGAGAGATAGGGGTGGGGGGGTGAGAAAAAGTCTTTTTTGGGGCTAGAGTGCCTTGGGAGGTGGAGAGGGTGGGGAGATGGTGGGTCATTTGGTATATTATACGGGGGTGGTCATCAGCTTTAGAGATAAAATAGTTATATAATCGACGTCGAGCGCGCACTGTTCAGTGCCATCAGCCGCTCAGTCACTCGGCCCCCGACTTAGGCTCGGCCCGGCCGGGCCGGCGGGCCGGGCCGCGCGCCGCCGGTCACCGGGTACCGCACTCAGTCGGTTCGTCCACTGTGGTCCGAAGTACGGTAGACTTAGTAGATGGCAAACTTCAGAACCTGGCCCTAGTAGGACTCCAATCAGGCTACCGGGACTCTGACGCTGCCGCAGCCTCCGTGCGCCCGGCCGGGAGGCTTCAAGGAGGCTTATCAGATCGGACACGGTACGGTCAGTCGATCTGAGGTCAGTGTTCAACTTGGAGACGGTCACCGGCCGCAGTGAGTTAAAAATCAGTCCGATCAACTTAGGCAACTTGCGGCAAGGCTGCCAGGCCCGGATCATGGCACCGTTCAAGTTGCGACTGACCATGTGACCCGGCAACAAGTTGCATGGCAATCACGGTTCATGATCACCGTACGGTACCGTACGATGATTCAACTTACTGACACGGTCCTGATCTACCTTACAATGAAGTGACTGAGATCATCAGTCACGGTGTTTGTCAGGGTGAACTTAGTTCCACGCCGGCCGCGCCGCATCATCATCCATGGCCGCATGGCAAGGTGAGGGAGTTTTCTCAGGCTGGGACTGATCGGATCGTTCTATCTCGGGTGCCACAGCAGCTCTCGGGCAAGTTTCATCTGACCCATCGCTCATGAGCTCGGCGAGTCGATTTTTAGAGATGCGCGCTCACCTGCTTTTTCTTTTTGGATCCTCCCATGATAATTTTTTTTCTCCACTGTTGTTTGTTTGCTTTCAAGTCATTGGGGATACAGTTCACGGGCGAGGCTTGTTGTTGTTTTTGTTGATGATGATGATGATGATGAGTCTTCAGGTCAGTCACGAACGAGCAATCGTGCGCTCTAATACAACAAAAGGCTCAGGTTTCGACCTGTTTACAAACTCGGATGAACAAATCGCTTCAACTCCATGAACGTCACGCGAAGCCCAAGAGGAGGAGGAGGGGCAAGGGAGAGTCCATGCCGAGAAGGACGCCATGGCACAGCATCTGCGAGCTGCCTGCTCTGATGCCTCGCACCATGGCGAGGAGTAGGATAGGTTACTTCTCCGTCAGCCCAGCAGCTCCAGACTTCCAGCTCGTCCTACAAGTTGACGACTAAAGTGTCGTACGAGGAGGAGGAGGAGGAGGAGGAGGAGGAAGGGAAAAGGAGGCGGGGGGGTGGGAGGAGGAGGAGGAGGAGGAGGATATTCTTCCTGAGCTCCTCCGCTTGATTACCATTCAATCTCCTCCGAGGAGATCGAGGCAGATGGAGTGGAGAGAGAGAGGTGGAGGAGAATGAACCTCTACAGGCTCACAACCCCCCAATCGCTGTCCCATCGCTCCTCCCTCCCCACCTCCACCTCCTTCCGCTCCTGGTCACGTTTCTTAGAGCCTCGCCGTCATGACGTTTTTTCTTTTTGCCGGACTGTTTGGGAGGGAAAGTAAATTCAGGAGGCGGATCATGGCGGGGGGGGAGGAGAGGGAGGAGAGGGAATGGAGGGGAGAGGACATGGAAGCGGCGAGGAGAGAGGAGATCGGGGAGTATGACAGGGTCGCCTACCCCTTCGACCACCTCTTCAGGAGGATGATGCAGGTGACCGGGGGGGGGAAGGGTGGGGGGGCGGTCGTGCAGGGCGCGGCGCTAATGGCAAATGTGGAAGATGGAGGGGAGCGAGCTGGAGCTGAAGGAGGTCCATAGGATGCTCATGACAGACAAGGTCCCTCTCATGCCCTCCCTCCTCCACGCGTTCCAGGCGCGACTTCGCTCATGCGCCAACTGCCGGCTGACGCCCTGCCATGAGCAGGTTGCTGGGTACAAGTGCCCCAAGAGCTGGAACAAGGCGAGGTCGAGGAAGAAGGAGAGGTGAGACGCATCTCCCTTCCTCCTCCTGCTGCTGCTGCTGCCTGCTGCCTGCTGCCTGCTGCTGCTGCTGCTCCTCCTCCTCCTCCTCCTCCTCCTCTCCCCGCCCCCCCAACGTTTCACTTCCTCCTTGACTTCATGCCCCTACAAGGCTGCAGAAGTTCGTCGCCACCAAGGCCTTCCGCGACTTCCAGGAGGTCTTCAGCAGCTTCGTGCAGGAGGTGGTGGTCCCCTGCGTGGGAGATCGGGAGGGCGTCATGTATCAGTTCCCTCCTACCTTCAGGGTCCAGGTTCCCTCCGACAAGCCCGTCGGCATCCCGCACAAGGACGCGGACTATCCGAGCCATGTGGACACAGAGATCAATTTCTGGGTACCGGTGACCAGTGCGTCCTGCGTGCTGCTGCCGTGCTGCTGCCTTGACGCTGCGCAGAGGTGTGGGGAGCAAACTCTCTGCATACCGAGAGCGCGCCAGGTAGGGAGGAGGCGTCGGCCGGGGTGATCGGGGAGGGAGGGAGGAGGAAATGGAGGAGGAAGATGAGTAGCTGATGATGGAAGCTGCGATGGGGAGGACCAGGAGCAGGAGGAACGAGCGTGTGCGAACAGCCGACTCTGCCCTGCAGGTCTTGGCGACTTCCACCCCTTCGAGTTGGAGTTCGGGCAGTTCGTGCGGTTCTGGGGCAACCAGTGCCATCATTACACGGTCATGCTGAGAAATCTGCCGATGCGTGTGGAGGTTGGGAGAAAGAGAGTTGCAATACGGAAAGATGAGAGATGAGAAAATGAGAGGAGAGAAGAGAGACAGAGACAGAGACAGAGACAGAGCGAGAGAGAGAAAGAGATGATAAGAGATGAGTTTTGAATTTCAAGGCTCTTGACGTGGCTACCTGAGGTTTGATCTCTATGATTGACTTCGTCCCCTCAGGTTGCAAACACCACTGACTCCACAAGAGTTAGTTTCGACTTCCGTGTTATCCCGGCATCAGTTTACACGTATTGCTACTCCCTCCTCTCCCTCCTCCCGCTCCTCTTCCTCCTCCTGTGTTTCCTCCTCGCACTCTCAGGCTCTTTGATATCTTCTATTAGTCTTTTCGCTCCCTCATCCTTTCCAGCCCTCCCCTCATGCTGCCTGTAGCAACCAGTTCAAGGGCTACATTGGCGACTATCCCACGCGACTCGCCAGGGGGACGAGAATGCATGTGGCGAAGGTGAGGTGGGTGAGTTGGATGTGTCAACGTGACATTTGCGATAAGAAAATGTTCGAGGAGGTTGTCGATAGGATGTAAGTAGCCTCCGTCCTCCATCTCGATCTGATACTTCACTTCTCTTTCTCTCCTCCTCCTCCTCCACCAAGGGGGGGGGGT